CACATTCATTTTAAGTGCACATGGAACATTCTCCAGGACACATCATGTGTTAGGCCACAAAACAAGTCTAAATAAATTTAAGAAGATTAAAATCATACTAAGCATCTTTCTACGACTGATATGAAGAAGCTAGACATGAATTACAAGGGAAAAACAGAAAACAAAAAACTAGAAAAAGCACAAACACATGGAGCCTAAACAACATGGTACCAAAGAGCCAGTAGACCAATGAAGAAATCAAATAGGAAAATAAAAATACATGGAGAGGAATGAAAATGAAAACACAATGGCCTCAAATCCTTGAAACTCAGTGCAAGCAGTTATAAGAGGAAAATGTGTAGCAATATAGGCCTACCTCAAGAAACAGAACCTAACCTTACAACTAAAAGGGAAAACGAACAAAATCCAATCATAGCAGAAGGAAATAATAAATACCAGAGCAGAAATAAGTGAAAAACAAGAAAAAACATAGAAAAGATCAATGAAATCATAACCTTGTTCTTTAAAAAGATAAACTGATCACCCTTTGGCCAGTCTTTTTTCCATCAAGGAAAAAAGAGAGAGGGCTCAAATGAACAGAATCAGAAATTAAGGAGGAGAAATAACATATCACAGAAATAGAAAGGATTATAAGAGACTATTATAAAAAATTATAAGCCAAGAAGTTGGACAACCTAGGAGAAATAAATTCCTAAAAATATTCTTTCTTCTTTTGGAAGATTGTGTAACAAAATTGAATTGGCAATCAAAAACTCCTGACAAAAGTCCCAGAGCAGATGGCTTCAGAGGTGAACTCTACCCATTCTCTTCAAACTATTCCAAAAAACTGAAAGGAAGGAAAGCTTCCAAATACATTCTCTGAGGGCAGCACTACCCCGATACGAAAACCAGACAAAGACACTACAAACACACACACACACACACACACACACACACACACACACACACAAAACCACTATAGGTCAATATCTCTGATGAACAAAGATCACAGAAATCCTCAACAAAATATGAGCAAACTACATTCAACAATACATTAAATATAGTAGGATCATTCACCATAATCAAGTGGAATTTATTCCAAGGATGCAAAAATAGTTTAGTATTCACAAATCAACACACACCACATTAATTAAATGAAGGGAAAAAATCATATGATCATCTTAATAGATGAAGAGAAAGCATTAAATATAATACAACATCCATTCATGATAAGAACACTCAACAAAGTAAGTTTAGAGCGAACACATGCCAACATAATACAGGCCATGTATGTACAGGCCATGTATGACAAACCCACAACTATCATCATACAGAATGCTGTAAAGCTGAGAGTTTTTCCTTCTAAGATCAGGAACAAGACAACAATGTCCACTGTCACCACTTTTCTTCAACATAGTACCGCGAGTCCTAGCCATAGCAGTCAGACAAGAAATAGAAATAAAAGGCATCCAAATTGATAAGGAAGAAGCAAAACTGATAGTATTTGCAGATGGCATGATACTCTACATAGAAAATTCTAAAGACTCCACCGAAAAACTATTAGAACTGATAAATTAATTTAGCAAGTTGCAGGATACCAAATTAATATACAGAAATCTGTTGTGTTTCCATATACTATTAGCAAAGTGGCAGAAAGAGAAATTAAGAAAAATTGTTTGAGAATTAAATTTAAAAATTATAAAATACATAGGAATAAACTTAACCAAAAAGGCAAAAGTCCTGTGCTCTGAAAACTATAGAACACTGATAAAGTAAACTAAAAAAGACACAAAGAAATGGAAAGCTATTCCATGCTAATATTCCATTAATTTAGAAAAATTAATATTGTTAAAATGTCCATAGTACCAAAAGTAATCTACAGATTCAATACAATCCCTGTCAAAATACTAAATATTTTTTACAGAAATAGAATAATCCTAAAGTTAGTATGGAACCACAGAAGATCCCAAGTAGCTGAAGCAGTCTTGAGAAAGGAGACCAATATATCTTTCAAGATATATTCCAAAGCTGTGGTAATGGAAACAGTATGGTACTGGCACAAAAACGGACACAGGTCAGTGGAGCAGAATAGAGAGCTGAGAAATACCCCCATGCTTACGTGGTGAATTAATCTACAGCAAAGGAGGCAAGAATATGCAGTGGGGGAAAAAAAAAGTCTCTTCAAAAAAATGCGTTGGAAAAACTGGACAGCTACGTGCAAAAGAATGAAACTGGACCAGTTCCTTACATGATGTGGAAAAATAAACTCAAAATAAAACGCCCTAAATGTGAGGCCTGAAACTCAGGGCACTAGTGATGAGCACTGCGTGTTGTATTTGATGAATCACTAAATTCTACACCTTGACTAATATCACACTGTGTGTTAACTAACCGGAATTTAAATTTAAAAACTTGAAAAAAGGAAAAAAAGAAAAGAAAGGCAGTAATCTCCTGGACGTTGACCTTAGCAACACTTTTCTAGACATATCTCCCCAGGCAAGGAAAACAAAAGCAAAAATAAACCATTGGGACTGGATCAAAACAAAAATCTTTTACACAGCAAAGGAAACCGTCAACAAAATGAAAAGGCCTACTGAGTGGGAGAAGACATTTGAAAATGGTGTCTTTGAAAAGAAGTTAATATTCAAAATATATAATGAAGTTACTCAACCTAACACCAAAAAAGCTGCAAAACATCCAATTAAAAATGGGCAAAAGTGGGTGGGGGATGGGTTAAATAGGTGATGGGATTCAGGAGGGCACTTGTTATGATGTACACTGGGTACTGAATGGAAGTGTTGGATCACTATATTTACACCTGAAACTAATATTACACTGTATGTTAACTAACTGGAATTTAAGTACTTTTTTAAAAAATGAGAGGACAATAGCCACTTTTGCAAAGAAGATATATGATGGCTGGCAAACACATGAAAAGATTCTCAACATCACTAATCATCAGAGTAGTGGAAATCCGAACCGCAATGAGATTATCACCTTACACCTGTCAGAATGGCTAGAATCAAAAAGACAAGAAATCCCGAGTGTTGATGAGAATGTGGAGAATGGGGAACCCTCTAGCACCGCTGGTGGGAATGCAAACTGGTGCAGTCACTGTGGAAAACGGTATGGAGGCTCCTCAAAATACTAAAAATAGAAATACCATACAATCCAGTAATTTCACTACTGTGTATTTACCCAAAGAAAAGAAAACCACTAATTTGAAGATATATGCACCTCTGTGTTTACTGAAGCGTTACTGACAATAGCCAAGATAGGGAAGCAACCTCAGTGTCCATCAATAGATGAATGGATAAGGAAGATGTGGGTGTGGGTGTGAGTGTGTGTGGGTGTGGGTGTGTGTGTGTGTAATGGGAATATCAGACATAAGAAAGAATAAACTCTTGCCATTTGTGACAATATGAATGGACTTGGCGGGTGTTGTGAGAAGTGAAATAAGCCCAATAGAAAAAGATAAATACCATAAGATTTCACTTACAATGTGGAATCTAAAAAGAACAAGCCAAAAAAGGAGAAATATTTCCCTGGATCCCCAGGATAGCTGAAACTGGCCAGCCTAGCGTGTGCACAGTGTTTTAACAGTTCAAGGCTTATGTCACATAACTGCTGAGATCATCGGAAGCATGTATCCCGACGGCATTTAGAAGAGTTTAGGACAGGATCAGGAGAGTTTGGTGTGGTCATTTCCCTGTTTACAGACACAGGTGCTTTGATCATAGTTTACTGACACTTCTTGTAACCCAGATACTCTAGCACATAGGAGCCTTAGTTTTCCCTGTTGTAAAACTAGAACACTTAATCAGAATGGATCTGATTCAAACACTGGGGTAATACACTCCTCATCTATGCTGTAGGATCCTAGGAATCCGTTTTGTTACCACCCCAGTTTCAGGCACCTGCTTACCTGTGGGCAGGGTACTAAATCATCTAGCCTCTCAAAGACAGACACCACAAGAATAGCCCCAGCAGGGATGTTCTACTCAAAGTATGGGATTATTCCTAGGGAGCTGTTCAAGAATTACATGTGGCTCCCGAATTCACCAAGAGTGAATGAAAAGTCTTCTTGTTAGTTGCTCAACTGTGGTGAAAATATTGTATCCATTCAAAGCTGATCTTAAATTGATTAAAATATTCTTCAAAAGTCAAAATATTAATATGTAGAAGCAGGGAGTGTTCTTATTAAACAGCTTGGATATTACAAATACACAGGGGCTGTACATCACAGGCCACACACTCTTCTTAAATGCATTCCAGTAAATGGTACCGCTACTGTGGAAGGCAGTTTGGCAGTTTCTTACAAAACTAAACGTACTTTTATACTTTTACTATATGATCTAGCAGTTGCACTCCTTGGTATAAATCCAAAGGAGTTGAAAATTTATGTAGCAGCTTTATTAATAACTGCCCAAAGTTGGAAATAGCCAAGATGTTTTTCAGTAGCTGAATGGATAAACAAAGTATTGTACATCCAGAAAGTAGAATATTATTCATCGCTAAATAGAAATGAGCTATCAAGTCACAAAAGACATGAAGGGTACTTAAGTGCATATTACTCAGTGAAAGAAGCCAGTTGGAGAAGGCTACATGCTGTATGAATAGGACATTCTGGAAAAGGCAAAACTATGGAGATAGTAAATAGATCAGTGGTTGCCAAAGGAAGTTAGTGTAGAGGGAACGATGAGTAGGCAGAGTGCAGAGGACTCTTAAGGAAGTGAAATTATTCTGTATGGTACTGTGATGATAGGTATTGTCCTTATACCTTTCTCCAAACCTACAGAATGCACGACACCAAGAGTGGACCCTAACGTAAACTGTGGACTTTGCATGATGATGTGTCAATGTAGGTTCATAAGTTAAAGCAAATGTACGATTCTGGCAGAGGACGTTGATGGCGGGGGGGAGGCTGGTGGGGGTAGGAGCAGGGGATATATGGGAGCTCTGGGTCTTCTGCTCAATTCTGCTGTGAAGCTACACTAAAATATACAGTCTATTTTTTTCAGATCTGCCAAGGGGCGGTGCCTACTTTTAAAAAGCAGAAATTGGGAGATTATAAGTCTTCAAGAAATATTCATCGAGAGATGCCACAAAGTAAAGCACACATTACAGATTGAAGAGACTGGGGATTTAGAGATTATATTAGCAGAGCTACAGACCCTCAGTGGTATCAGTTGGACCAAATCCATAACTGCTCAAGAAAAACCTTTTTGCTGCAAACTGTATAAGGACAAAACTTAACCCCAAATGTTCTGGTAGTCGCATATTGAAGAGCAGCTTAAAGAGCAGGGTAGACCTCATGCACTCGACGTGCCCACACCACTGACCTGTGCAATGGCAAAATCTGAGTTGTTGGTGGCCTGCATGCCCTCGTTCCCACTGATTCCCACACCCACGTGGGCCATCTGGATCATCCCAATGTCATTGGCACCATCCCCGATGGCAAGAGTGATGGCCCCTACGTGCTTCTTAACCACGTCGACTATTTCTGCCTTCTGGAGGGGAGATAACCTGAAAAAGAAGACAGAAATCACCACTTTTTATTGTTTTATGTTGGTTCGTTTTACTTCACCTTGTCGTAAAAGCCTTTAACATGGAGTCAACGGCAATCTACACCTAACCACCTTTAAATGACAGCTACGGATAAATTTTCCAATACATTGATCAAGCTTTTAACAGATATAAAAACGTTCCACCCACCAATCTAAAATAAATGAATAAACAAACAAAAAGCAGAATCAGACCTATAAACACAGAACAACCTGATGGCTGGTGGAGGCTGTGGGGTGAAGGGATGGGCAATATGGGTGAAAGGGGGTGGAAGGTACACACTTTCGGATGGAACAGAAGTCACGTGAATAAAAGGCACAGCACGGGGAACAGAGCCAGTGATATTGTAGTAATGTTGTGTGATGACAGATGGTAGCTCGCTTGTGGTGAGCACAGCGTAACAGAGATTTCCAGTCAGGTTGTACACCTGAAACTAATGTATCATTGTGTATCAGCTATACTCAAAAATTCCTTCCCCCGCCCACCCAAAATAAGAAGTAAAGCAAAGAAAGCACACAGTAACTTCTTTAACTCCCCAAAGAAATACACAGTATCAGTTGCTCCCTATTTCTAACACTGCCCTATCTTAATTTACATCATCTCGCTACATGAGAGCAAGAAGTGAAGATCTGTTTCTAAACCTGTATAAAGGCATTTCCCCCAAAGGATAAATATGTGGAGTAGCCTAGGAAAATCAAACTACCCTCAAGTGAACTTTACAAGGAGACAGAGAAACATGAAGATCTCAGTCAGGAGTCTGTGGAAACAATAACAATCCAAAGGTAAGTGACTGAAAATAACAAATGTTTGCTTCTTTCCCGTGGATGTGTCCAGTGCAGATGAGGATACCGTTGATCCTTTCTTTTCACCCAGACAAGCTACGAAAGCAAATTTCGTATTCCTCAAATATTTCAGACTAGCAGACCCTGTCTACACAAAATACTTAACAGACATTCCAAGGAAAGAGAAGCAATTTTTTTTCTTATTTATCAGTTATGTACTCATTCACTAAATAAATTGGCTACATACCTCTATCCAAAATGATCAGGGACACACAAAGGTTTTATTTTCTAGTAAGTGAGTGTTCATCCCCTTCCCACAAAACAGCTCCTAAAAACTAATTTAAATCTCAACCTTTCAAATTTCAGGTGAGATTAAAAACTGAGGAGATGAAGTTCCCTTGACTAGAACACACTCCAAATTTTAAGACAGAAGCACAGACAGAAAACCTTTGGTTTCATAATGAGGAAAATGTGAGTTAACATTAATACACTGTAGATACAGTGTGAAAAGTTGCTGAAGTAGAGGATGTTCCGGAAACCATTTGTAAGTTTAGTTTCCATCTAGAGACACTGTTTTTTTTGTTTTTTTGTTTTTTTGTTTTTTTTTACTGCAATAACTACAATGATAATAACTTCACCATTTTGTCTGGCAAGTACTTTTATATTTAAACTATGATATTTGTGAAGAAAAAAAAGAAAACGTACCTCATATTAATACCAAATTTGACTCTTCATACTGTCAAATCTTAATTCTATCGTTTGAGCCAGTGAAGCTCTCCAAATAGGAAAAGAGAACTACAGGGACCCAACTAAGCCTTCTCCTCCCCTTGCTAAACATCCTTGAATCCTTCAGTCCTTTTGTGAGGTGGTTCAGGGCCTTTTGCCAAAGCTCCACATCAATTCTGATCAGTTGTTGGCAAGATGTAGAGAAAGGGGAACACTCATACACTTGTTGGTGGGAATGCAAACTGGTACAGCTACTCTGGAAGACAGTATGGCGGTTCCTTAGAAAGTTACACATAGCAATTGCACTATTAGGTATTTACCGAAAGGATACAAAAATATTGAGTTGAAGGGGCATGTGCACCATGATTTATAGCAGCATTATCAACAACAGCCAAATTATGAAAAGAGCCCAAATGTCCATAGAGGTGGCACATTATATATATATATATACACACACACACACACACACACACACACACACACATACACACACATATGTGCTATGGAATATTACTCAGCCATCAAAAAGAATAAAATCTCACCATTTGCAATAATGTGGACACAGCTAGAGTATATTACACTAAGCAAAATAAGTCAGAGAAAGACAACATATTATTTCACTCATATGTGGAATTTAAGAAACAAAACAGATGAACATAAGGAAAGGGAGAAAAAACAGAGGGAAGCAAACAATAAGAGACTCTTAACTATAGAGAACAAACTGAAGGTTGCTGGAAGGGAGGTGGGTGGGGGATGGGCTAAATGGGTGATGGGTATTAGGAGGGCACTTGTTGTGATGAGCACTGGGTGTTATATGTAAGTGGTGAATCACTAAATTCTACTCCCCAAACCAGTATTAGACTATATGTTAACTAACTAGAATTTAAATTAAAACTACAAAAAAAAAAAAAAAAAAAGAGAGAGAGAGAAAAGAATAGAACTGGATTATCACTATTCTGATTTTGGATCTCCCTCCCATACATGAAAATAAATCCTAAAATAATAATAGTCTTTTAATACCTATGTGTTAAATGAGCTTAAATTAATAAAACACTTTAGGTCATGTTTCTGGGTGTATTAAGTCAAATTACCCTAATCTTGAAATTTTAGGGTTATACCCAATTGATGATCTTTGCATTCATGTCTGGCAAAGTTTATCTTGTCATTTTATTTGCTGAAAAAACATAGACACCCCACAGCCATCTATTCACAAAAACTGAAGGGTGAAAAGTCTACTCAGGATAGGAAAAAAAGTCAATATGCTGTTTCAGGACACAAAAGTAATAAGAAAACACAGCCCTAAAACACAGTTTGAGAAATTCAAAACAGACATTAAACAGCTAATTTCTGTTCTTTTCATCTGAATGAAAGATGAAAGTATAAAAACCTTCCAAAACATAGTATTTCACGTGTCAACGCTCATTGTGATTTTTAATCTATAACATGGAACCGAATAAATTCAACAATGTAGAAAGAGCACATAATAGATTCCAACCTATAAAACAAACACTCTAGTCACATTTGACTTGATTTAAAAATTGTAGTATTTTTATCGTCTGTTTTCATGGAATTACAAAGATAACTAAACCAATTGACTGGAATAATGTCATGGTTTTTCCATGGCACACACTACTGACTTCTTTATCAATACAATCAGTGTTAGAAATAAAAAATAAAATGGTTTCCATTCAAAATTTGTAAAATAGGTTCAACATATTATATGGCGTAGATACTTTCTTGTATATAAAAACAAGTTTTCTTGCTATATTTGTGGTTGGAATTCTCTGCGTAAGCTACTTACAGGTAATCTCATATGCATTATTATTTATTCAACAAATACTGATGTCCCTACATATGAGCCAGGCACAGTTCTTGATACAGAAAATAGTGCAGAGAATAAAATACATAAGCATTCCTGCCTTCATGAAGTTTACATTCCAGTGGAGAGGAGAAAGACAATAAACCAAGTAAGTAAAACATAAATTATGGCATATGGTGATAAGAACTTTCCTTTAAGTTTCTTTTTCAGTCAGTGCAGAGCCCGATGCAAGGCTTGATCCCATGAACCATGAGATCATAACCTGAACTGAAATCAAGAGCTGGACACCCAACTGACTGAGCCACCCAGGCGCCCCGATAAACTGAATTTTCTAGATTAATTAGATTTTTCTCTCCTGATTATGTTTACCTGAGTGCCACTGATTAAGCAATTGTAACAAATACCATATGACACCCTCCAAGTATCTAAGCTTTTTTATTTCTAAATGACATTCAGTAAGCAAATTATTGGTCAAAACTTTAAGAAAACTTTCTATACCTGTTAATGGCATATAAGGATATTAGACAGTTTCCTTCAGAAAGTAAACAAGTATAAAACTGGAAAACATGATTAAGAACAAACATTTCAGCCCATCAGAAAATGCCCAAAGGTGGAAAAGAACTCGAGACATGTTTATTCATGAAAATCAGAGAAGTGACCTCCGTACTTAGAGGTGTTCCTGTTCCCCTGACCTGGGAGTGGGGGAAAATCTGCAGATTTGCTACCCAAGACACGGCGGACGTGGTTTGGAGCAGATAATGAACACCCACATCTTTACCAATTGGGGTGGCTCTCTCAGTTCAGGGAGGGCAGCAAACCAGCTAGAAATGTAACAGGGAGATTGTGCAACAAAAGAATCACAGGAGGGCTGAGGTCATCAACTTGCCCGTATTCCGAACTGACCACTAAAGTAAGGATATGCAGGAAAGAGCCCAGAGAGGCTGTCATGTTGTGCCTCTGAAAGCATTCCTCCAACCAGCATATGGCCCTAGCATCAAGGGTAGGAGCGTCAGACTATGACTTGTCTAGGCACAAACTTGGCCAAATAATTGCGTGATGACTAAACTCTGCAGGCACAGGAGAAACTCCTGGGAAGGCAGGCTTAAGGGAAAAAAAAAAAAAAAAAAAAAAGGCTGAGGAAAGATACCAGGAACTGCAAGTGAACAGGGAAACATACTTGACAGTCTGAGTCCAGGCAAGTTACTAAAACACTGGGCCAACAAAATGCAGAAGAATAAATTAGAATCCAGATAAACTACACTGTATTTTTCCACAATAGCCACTTTCACTCTAAATAAAACAAAATCACTAGATGTGCCAAGAAACTTAAGGGTATTTTTCATTCACAGTGAACAAAGCAGCCTGACTGAGAATAGACCTGATATAAGAGTTAGCAAAGACTTCAAAGCAGCATTATAAATACGCTCACAGAATTAAAATATGTTCAAAGAAAGAAAATTATGATAATTATGAGTCAACAAACAGGATATCCCAACAGAAGAATGGAAACTATTTAAAAAAAATTAGAAACTCTGGGATGAAGTGAACAATACACTTCATAACTTAAGTCAGATCTGAGTGGAAGAAATTAGTGAATCTGAAGTTACATCAATAGAAAATATGCAATCCAAAAAGAAAAGAGTTGAAATTGAAAATGCAGTGGCAGTGCAACGGGTCTGTAATCAACATCAAGCATTCAATCATACATGTGATTGGAGTCCTGAAGCAAAGGAAACAAAAGTAGCAAAAACAAAAACAAAAAACAAACAAAAAAAAACCCCTGAGAAAATAATGGTTGAAAACTTTCCAATCTGGTAATAACAAAACAAAACATTAATTTAGGGATCCATTGAATCCAAAGTAGAATAAATACAATAAGAACCAGATTTAGAGCCAACATAGCTAAATGAATGAAACCCAGTAACAAAGAGAAAATCTAGAAAGTAGGAAAATGACACATCACATACAGGCTAACAACAGCGTGAATTTCTCACCAGAAACCAGGGAGCCAGAAGACAAGAGAGTGACAAAGTACCAAAGAAAAAAAATCAACCAAGTATTTTCTTTGATAATAGCTTTAAGTTAGAAATCAATAACAGGGAATATACCCAAATGTGTGAGAATTCAGTACTTTTAAATAGCCCATGAGTCAAAAAGGAAATCAAGAGAAATTAGAAAATACCGTACTTTGAACTGAATGATAATGAAAACACAACATATCAGAATTTGTGAAATGTAATTAAATCAGTGCTTAAAGATTTATATCTTGAAATGCTTATAGTAGAAAATAAAAAATGTTTAAATCAGTGACAAAAGTTTTTACCTTAAGGGAATGAGAAAAAAATGAGTTCAATCCAAAGTAAGGTAAAAGTAGAAAATAATCCAGATGAGTATATATTATATTGTCTATCAGAATATGATATCATTATATATTATAATACACATATATTACATCATATTAATGTTATATATACATAACATTACATATACATTATAAACATATATCAGAATATAAATAAAAAACTGGACAGACCGTGGAGTTGGCCTTTTGAAAATATCAGCAAAACTGGTAAAGCCCTAACTAGACTGATCAAGGAAAAAAAGAGTAAATTATCCATATGAGGAAGGGAAGGAACACCACCACACGTCACACAAAAGTAACAAATAAATAAAGGAATATTGTGAAAAACTTCATGCCAACAAGTTTGACAGCTAGAACAAATGGACAAATCCCTTGAAAGACACAAATCACAAACTTGAAGAAGTAGTAGAAAATATTTGCTTCCTAAATTGAATTACTCATCAGAGCCTTCCTACAAAGTCCAGGTCCAGGTGGCATCATCGACAGTGAAGTCTGTCAAACATTTTGGGAAGAAATCATACCAAACACTACAGAGAGTATAGAAAACAGGACAAAGAAACACCTCCCAAATCAGTTTATCAGGTTAGAATGATCTGATAACAAAGCCACTCAAAAAGTTGAGATAAAACCACAGACAGATGTCTTTCATGAGTACAGACTAGAAATTCTTCATGAAATTTTAGTAGAATATACAGAAAAACTCAGTCAAAAGTTTGAAGCCATGAAGAAAGTGAGAGACAGACTCTCCTCTCCTTCTCCATCACCACTCCCCTCTGCAAAGTACACGTTCAGCCAGGTCCATACCAAATTGTTTCCATCATTCAGGATGTACCTCAGTCAACAGACTTCAGTTTTGTGTTCATTTATGTTTACTGTTCCTCCAATGGGGACCCTTAAAGGGATGGTGGGACTAAGGGGAAAAACTAAGACACTGGACCACATAAACCTGGAAAATTGAGAGTTGGTGTCGCGGTGGGCTGACAAGTGACCCCTGCAGGAGCTGGACAGGGAGGAGAGTGAGGTCAAGTTGGACATTCCCCTGCTCCTCCCTGCCACATCCGCTCCGGGTGGCTGTGTCTGTCTCCTGCCGCTCACTGCTCCTCTAGAGGCAACCGGCTCTGAAGGACTCTTTCCTTCCAGGCACAGTGACTCCTCCCCTCCTCCAATCCCTTTGGACCTAGGGGTAGAACAGCTCTTCCCACTGTTACCAACACGTATATACGATCCCTTTGTTTTCATCTCAGGCTGCCGGCAGCAAGCATCTTTCAGAGCCAAGCACGATGTCCCATTTGCTGAGATTTATGGGAGAAAGCAGATGTGAAACTTCCCCTGGATGCACTCCTATGAAGATGCGAGGTCTCTCAACCCCTAACTTGCTGCCCAAAGGGGATCTCGCCTGGGAATGAAGCCTGCACCAGACAGATCAAAAGGGGGACAACACTGGAACCCTACAACAAACCACGAGTAAAGCCAGATTTAGGATCAACCACCACTAGGTCACTGCAAGCCAACTGCTGGAATGTCCATCCTTTGTGGCCAAATTAGCCCACGTTCTCTCTCCTCTTCAATGATGTCCTTTCATGGCTTCCTCCAGCATGAGTAGGAGGGTCAGGTGGAGAGACCGCGAACACTCCTTAAAATATTGTTAGAATGCAAAACGAAAATGGTTCCATAAAGTCTAAATAGTGAAAAGAAAAATAATTCTGGCGAACTGTTGATAAATTTGCTTGCTTCCCTTGAAGTTGGCTTTGCCAACAGAATTTTCAACCATGTGAGCTAATAAATTCCCTTTTAGCCCAAAGGCGAATGGAAGGCTATGTCACAAAGAATCCTGAAGGCTAAACTACAGTCGTGACAAGTGAGAGTGCAATAAAGAACAGAACCTGCCGAATTCTCGTAGCTGATGCTGAATGAATGTGAACAAAGAAGGACACCGGGGGGAGACATTTGAAGCCTATAGGGAACCTGACGACCGAGAAAACCGTCTAAATCGATACTTACAAGTCCAAGGCATCAAAATGTCTTCATAATTGGCCCAGTTAATATTTTTATTCAGGAGAAAGGAACAATTACTCTGTACTTAGTTTATTTTCTTAGCTCCATCCATCTTTGTTGTACATGATTTCCCTTTTTAAATTGATATTTAGACTTCCAGTAACACCGATAACTTCATTTCTCTCTAGGTGTCAGAATTTTTTCAGATATGACCCTCACTATAAATAGAGGACCTTTGGGGCACCTGGGAGGCTTAACAGGTTAAACGTTCGACACCAGCTCAGGTCATGATCTTAAGGTTGGTGAGTTCGAGCCCCATGTCAGGCTCTGTGCCGACAGCTGGGAGCCTGGAGCCTGCTTCGGATTCTGTGTCTCCTCCTCTCTCTGTCCTTCCCCTGCTCATGCTCTCTCTCTCTCTAATAAGCATTAATTTTTTTTAATAGAAATTATTTATTTATTAAATTAATTAAATAGAGGACCTTTGTTCTTACTGAAGACACCTTTCATCTGGTCAATACATCAATAATTTATCATTGAAAAATTATAATGTTTTCTACTACATCTTAAGCTTGACAATTAGAATTAAACTCAGATATCTCTCTCCAATTTGAACATATATTTTATCAATAAGGAACTTTTCCTCTACAAAAACTCCTATTTCCATGTCTACATTTTCTTTACATGTTTATGTTAAATGGAGCAGGGAAGGGAAAAGAACAGTGAATATATCCTTTCCCTACAACATAATACTGCTCTGCATGAGAGGGCCAAGTTGACAAAGCTCCTCTTAACTTCAGGATGGAAGGCGTACTTCAGTGTTTCACCATCAATGATGAGGGCCAGGTCATTTTCTTCACCTAACAGGACTCCAAGATCTTGACAGTTCTGATTAACTGCTTGTTGTGTTGCCTAAAACAGAGTGGGGCGGGGGGGGGGGGGGGGGCGGGACCACTTATTTTTCTCATTTTATATAAAAATATATAAATATAAATAAAAGACTTTCTGAATCAATATGGTAGATGGAGGCATACTTTTTACCTCATTCTTCCCTTCAAATATCTCACTGAAATGAAAAAGTAAGTAACATGAAAAGAAGAGTGACATCATAGATGACCAGTGAAATGCCAATAGAAACCACGGTGAGATACTACTTTATACCTATTAGCATAACTAGAATCAAAAAGCCAGACAGTAAATGTTGATCAGGATTTAGAGAAACCCAAAACTCTCAAACACTGCTGGCTGGAATGTAAAATGATGTAGCCACTTTGGAAAATAGTCTGACAGTACTACAGATGGGTAAGCGTGAGTTCACCAGATGACCCAGCAACACCACTCGTAGGCTTCTACACCCAAGACAAGTGAAAACCTGCGTCTACACAAAACTTGTACATGAATGTTTATAGCAGCACCATTCACAATTGCCTAGAAGTGAAAACAACCTGATGAATGGATAAACAAAATATTGTATGAATATCCATACAGTGGAATATTCTTTAGCCATCAAAAAGTTATGAGGTATTAATGCATTCTACAACATGGACGAACCTTAAAAATACAGTAACTGAAAGAAGCCAGTCACAAAAGACTGTTATTATGACTCAATTCACATGAAAGTCAAGAATAAGCAAACCCATAGAGTTTGAAGCATATAGGGACCCTGGTCTATCAAAGTAGATTAGTGGTTGTTTAGGATGGGGGAAGGAAGATGAGAGAAATGGTAACTAAAGAGCAGGGAGATTCTTTTAGAGGTGATCAAAGTGTTCTAAAAGTTGACTGTGGTGACGGTTGCATGTATGTGTGGAAATATTAAAACAGACTGAATTGTACACATTAAACATAATTTTTGTGTGTGATGTGGATCATATCTCAATAAAGCTGCTTTTTAAAAGGTATAGAAGAGTGAATTCATATCAGCTGGAAAATACAAATGGGTACTAGCATACCAGAAAGTTCAGAGAATTTTTGAGAAAAATGTTAAAGGTGGGAACAAAATAATGGGAGTGAACTCTACAAAACTGAGTCTCCGGTTTCTAAGGGGGAAGTATAGAAGTTTTAGAGACTCGTTCAATTTAAGATATGTGGGAGTCACCTCCCTTAGCTTATTTTCCTCAGATCATCCTTCCTTTCCTTCATAATTCACATAAACTATTGAAAGCTCAAAATTTTAGAGAAATGACTCCCCATGCCAGTAGCAGAGTAGAAAATTCAGATAGTGGAGTATTTTAAGGAAAATACATAATAAAACTATAAGTCATGCAGATTAATGCTAAAGAAAATTCCTTCATCAAATACAAGTGAAATAAAAATAGTATCAGTTACCACTTTCTGTTGCAATATTAATGAACTAATAAGTGTGCCAAAACATTTGACTGTTGCCAACTCTTTTATTTCTTTGACTATGTGAAATGAGTGCCATAAAATACTAAATCATATTTAAAAGATTATTTTTTAACTATTTTGCTTAAACTACACTTTTCAGTTATATTCAGTCATCTGTAGAAATCAGAGTTTTTTTTTAATGATCTGTAATTTTCTTAAACATGTTAATGAATGAAATTTTAACAAGATGTGGCACCTTTTTGGAAAAAGCTCCAAAAGCTTTAATGAAACAATCCTCCTTCCTATTTTCCTCAGAAGGCCTTCATTACTCATTACTCAAATGAAATTACTGTGTTTCCTGAAATAAAAGGTAATTTAATAATCCTTGAATTACCAAGGCCTTTATAGAAACCTGCAGGTCTAAAAACACATGAAATTCAGACACTTAAAATTTGATTTCATACTGTGTAAGAGCTATAATATATACTATACGTGTATCATATTAAACATTTCCACTTCTACTTTTTCCACATAGCGGACTACATAGCCCATCAGTGATCTCAAATGACTGCAGTTATTTTGTTGACCCCAAAATAATCTGGCAAAATTGAAGTTTTCCTCTATGTTAATAACTCTTCTCATACTTCATTTCATCACTGAACACAAAACTTGGTGCTTTTCTGACTACTATATTGCTTTCAATTTTACAGTTACTTGGAACACGTAAATGCTTGGAGCTAAAGCTTAACAGTCTTAACATCTTATTTTTTTTTTCTTCCACTCCTAAATTATTTGTTTTCCTTTACCAGTCCTCCTGCTGCCAATGTTAACAGGAGTGAAGATAATTCCTCCAACGTGGTTCACTTTAGAACATGACTACCTGAGCAATTTGCCAACGTTAATTATGTAAAATTCTGCACAGCACAACCTGCAGCACATTATACGGGAAAGTTGCATTATCTGCTTCATTATGTAAAGCAAGTGTATCAGTAATGATTATTTAGGAATAATGAGTTCTGTTTTTTTATAATATTAAATATTTTCTTTTTTGATGTCTTGAAATGAATGGTGAGCTGGCTTGCTAAATGGAAAATGACACTCCTTCCCAATTTTTGTTATAATCGGAGGCTCCATTTTTCTTTTGCAACATTATTTTCAATAAATGTGTGAATATGAAGCATTGAGATTGCTTTAAAATCTCTACTAACATGGTAAGTTTTTTTGTAATGTATTACAAATTGGTTTCCATACAACACCCAGTGCTCATCCCAACAGGTGCCCTCCTCCATGCCCATCACCCACTTTCCCCTCTCCCCCACCCCCGCACTCACCCTCAGTTTGTTCTCTGTATTCAAGAATCTCTTGTGGTTGGCCTCCCTCCCTCTCTGTTTGAAACTATCTTTTCCCCTTCCCTTCCCCCATGGTCTTCTGTTAAGTTTCTCAAGATCCACATATGAGTGAAAACATATGGTATCTGTCTTTCTTTGACTGACTTATTTCACTTGGCATAATACCCTCCAGTTCCATCCACGTTGCTGCAAATGGCCAGATTTCATTCTTTCTTATGGCCAAGTAGTATTCCATTGTATGTGTAAACCACATCTTCTTTATCCATTCAGGAATAATGAGTTTTGAAAATGACATAACTCTAAAGTTTACAAGAACTTAAAACATAAGAGAAAATCTTAAAGAAACAAAGTGCCAAGATCACCATGGAAATCACAATATGGAAGTGAAATAGAGCTTTCACTCACAAGACTAGCTTCTGGAAAATTCTAATTATGCAACCAAGACCCACAAAGTCACAAACTTTGTAAACACAAATTTGAACACGTCTCAGCTGCCTTTGCTGTATATAATTTGGAGAAATAAAAAGTATAACTCAGCCTTCATCTAATATTTAACAGTAGAAGAGTTAACAAAACATAACATTTTATTCTATATTTCTTATACTCTTAAGAGACTTATTAAAGACTAGGGGTGCCTGGGTGGCTCAGTCAGTTGAGCATCTGACTTCGGCTCACGTCGTCATCTCGCGGTCTGTGAGTTCGAGCCCCGCCTCAGGCTCTGTGCTAACTGATCTGAGCCTGGACCCTGCTTCAGATTCTGTGTCTCCCTCTCTCTCTGCCCCTATCTCTCAAAAATAAATAAAACATTAAAAAAATTTTTTAATTTAATAAAATAGTACAAACGCTATACACAACCCTCAAAGTATATGCAAACTAAATTGAGAAATAAAGGAAAATATTAGAAAAGATACCACCATTATTATATGCCATGAAGAGTTAACCATAATGAGAAAGCTGAAGTGATATATCAGATAACATAGCCTTAAAGAGAAAATATGACCAAAAATAGAGACGTTTCATAATGATTAAAAAGTTAATTTTTCAGGAAGAAATAACAATTATATTTCCTAACAATAGAGCCTCAAAACATATGAAGCAAAAATGGGTAGAATAAAAGGGAGAAATATAAAATTCA